TCTCTTGTCTGCTGGGCTGGGTGGGTGCGGGAGCTGCCGCGGGATTACCAGGAGCTGCCCGGGCTGGTCTCGGGGGTTCCCCCCCACCTTTGGTTTGCAAACCAGGGGGCTGGGCAGTGTGGGGCAGACCGGGAGAGGTCCCGCTCCTCCGTGTGGGGGAAGCGAGGGGTGGGGGTGCATCTTTTGGCTGGAGCAAGCAACAGGTGCAGCCTCTGCCCGGGCACCTGGCAGCCCTTGCCCACACTCCCCTCCTCTCGCCCCAGCCTGTCCTGCACTGGGCACTGGCTGCTTGCATGGCGCGGTAGGAGGCCCACGTGGGATCCTGCGGGCGTGGGCAGCCCGGGGGGGAGGCTGGGTCAGGCTCCGTAGCTTCTTTCCAGGATCAGGCCCTGTGTCCTGCCCTGGCTGCACTCCCACGGGTGCCTGGGCCCGGACCCCACACGCACCTCCAGGGGCGCCTCCGAGCAGTTCCTTTGGTGCAGGGGGTTTTGTGGGGAGGGGGCTGCACTGGCCCCAGGACTCGCCATCGGGAAGGCAGGAGGATGCCTCCCTTTACATAAGCCATGGAGCAGGCGATGGCAACCAGCCAGGACCAAGCCTTCCCGGGCCAGCTTTGTGATGCCTGCAGCAGAGGGGCAAGAGCTCTTAGCTCTCCCTCTCTCTTTACCACAGAAAACAGAACGGTTCCTCCATTGCCAGGAACTGGGGGGCAGCAGGGGCCGGACGCCTCTGCAAGGCCACCATCGCAGCCCCCTGGAAAGGAACCCCTGCCCAGGGGCCTTGGCAGCCTCGGGGAGAAGTGCTGGCAGAAGGGGTGGGCCGGGGATGGCTCAGCTGTGGGTCCAAGCCCTGTCCTGTCTCATGCCCAGACTCCCCCAGCAGTGCCTGGGGAGCGGGGCCGTGGCTGCCCGGGCATGCACAGGCCTCTGCTGCTTCAGTGCAGATGGGACTGAGCAAAGGGCTGTAACTAGACCCAAGCCGCCCGGGGTCACAGCTCCCCGGGGCAGTCCTGGCATGGCTCTGCTCCCCTTGGCAGAGCTCTCCCCACTCTTTGCTCATGCACAAGTGCTGTGGGCCAGGTCCTGGGCTGGATTAAAGGTGCCCAGTGCCCGCTCGCCAGTTCCGCGCTTCCCAGCCTCGGGCCTTCTTTGGAGACAGTTCATAAATATTGTCACAAGGAGGCTGGGGAGCATCTGTTCCAGGCGCTGGATACTGTAAATCCTAGCAAGGCTTCACAGCCCAGCGCCAAGCTCCTATTTTGGGCGCACGGGGCCAGTGTCCTCCTCTGGGAGGTGGGAATGTTGGCCCCGCGCTCCCCTTGGCTGGCGGGACAGTTCAGAGTTTCCCCTCCCTGCATCACGCTGCCTTGGCTGGAGGCACTCACTGATGACCCCCCTAGTTTAATAGGATCAGGGATTGCAGCCAGAGTCCGGCTTCGGGGTGCCTTGATGTTCCCGTGCCCCGAGCTCAGCCTGAGCAGCCCTGCGGTGCTCAGGGCTGGGCACGAATGCAGCAAGGGTGGGCCGGCTGCTCCCACGGCGAAGCTCTTTGAGCCCTGGGTCCCAAGTGCGTGCCAAGGGACGTCGCCGGGGGTGAGCGGGACTGGGCAAAGCAGCTGAATTTGGCGGAGCGTCTTGCTTGAAGGAGCACGAGGAAACCCCCCCAGTGCCATGGCCTCCTGGTGCCTCAGCATTCAGCGGTCCTGCGCGGCATACCCGAACACGACCTTTAAAGGTCCGTGAGATGAAGGACATTATCGCCTGGCCCCGAGGCTGCCAGCTCTGCCAGGGACTCCGGTTACGGGTCTGTCGTGCACGGCCCCAGCAGCGTTGCAGCAGCTGGGCAGCCAGCATTGGGCAGCAAAGCCCCCAGGCCAGGGCGCAGCCAGGGGTCAAACATCTGTCCTGCCGCAAAGCAAAGGTGCTGGCGGGCAAGCCCCGAGGGGCAGAGCGGGTCTTCTTACCCCTCTCCCACCCTTCTCATTTGTGCCCTGCACCAAGCATTCATAGCAACCGTCTTCTGGTCTTGGAACTGGGGCTTGGGTGTTGCCATGACCTGAGCAGAAATCTGGGGCTGGGCAGAGCGGTGATGGGGGCACTCGGATATGGGGCAGCCTGGCACCAGGGACCCCCGTGGGCTTTTGGTCTGCATGGGAGGCCCTGCCCCATCATGGGTTCCCTTCTTCCTTTGCTGGCCTAGCGCCTCCAGCCCCACGGCTGGCTAGGAATGACCTTCCCCGAGGACGAGCTTATGCCACTGGGTTAGACTGGCGCCATCGCCAGCTAGCGTGGGCTGGGCACCTTCCAGAGCCCAGGCTTGTGCCCTCCCACCCCTCAGCTCATTCTTTTTATGGCTTTTCACACCTCGTGCGCCGCGTTGACAATCTTAATTTACGCGGCTCCGATCTTGGGCGGGTGTCGGAGACAAGCTGTCACAGCGGCCCCGTCCTGCCCTTCCTCTAAGCTCACACCCCAGGCCAGGGCTTCTCCCAGGTCTGGCCCTGCAGGCTCCTGGTGCTGAGCTGCTGTGGGCCGAGCTTCTGGTTTGTGCCACGGGAGCACCAGGCAGCCTGGTCCACATGCTCCTGCAGGGCTTCAGCTTCGCGGATGCAAGGGGTGGAGTAACTGCATGTTGCCACCTCGCTCTGGGGGTGCAGCTGACCAAGCCCTGCCAGGCAAGGTGCCCATCTCCATGGCCTCTGGGCACAGGCAGTTGTCTGTGCCGGGGAGCCAGTGCCTGCCCTGTGGAGCTTGCAGCTCAGTCATCTGGGGGGAGGGAGGAGAGGTGCAAGGGGGGGAGCAGAGCGTGGTGGGTAGTCGTGCCAGGGGCCAGTATCCCCCCTGCAGCTCCGGATCAGTGCATCCCGGCACTCACCCGGTTCCTCCTTCCCTCTCCCCGCAGAAATGCCCTGCATCCAGGCACAGTATGGCAGCGTGCCCCAGAGCGCTGGGCTGGCTGAACGCTACCAGGCAGACTTCCTGAGCCCCGAGGCCGGCAAACTTGGCATGGACCTGGCAGGCGCGGAGCTCTCAGCACCCCCCTCTCTGCCTAGCTTCAGCACCTTCATGGACGGCTACGCTGGCGAGTTTGACGCCTTCCTGTGCCAGCTGCCGGCCGCCGGCCCACCCCCCACCGCTGCCTTCAAACTGGAGGACTTCCAGGTCTACGGCTGCTACCCCGGCCCCTTCAGCAGCCAGCTGGATGAGACCCTGTCCTCAAGTGGCTCGGACTACTACGGCAGCCCCTGCTCCATCCCGTCGCCCTCCACCCCGGGCTTCCAGAACCCGCCGGGGCCGGCCTGGGACAGCCCCTTTGGGCCCTACTCTCCCCCCCAGAGCTACGAAGCCGTGCGGCCCTGGGCTGAGCCACCCAAAAGCGGCACCCCGCAGCCAGCCTTCTTTACCTTCGGCCCCTCGGTTCACAGCTCTGGGGTCCCCCAGAGCCCCCTGAAGACCCAGCCGCCAGTGCCCCGGCTGGACCAGCCCCTGGCGGACACGGACATCTTTGCCCTCTCCCAGAGCACCCCGGCAGGCTTCCCCGGCCTGCCCCTGGGCCAGGTTTCACCCCTCCTGGACAGCCCAGCCCTGATGGACGGTTCGCTGTCGCCCTCCAAGACGCGCAGCCCTGGTACCAACGAGGGCCGTTGTGCCGTGTGCGGGGACAATGCCTCATGCCAGCACTACGGCGTTCGCACCTGCGAGGGCTGCAAAGGCTTCTTCAAGGTGAGAAAAGCTTGCAGTTCCTTGCCGGATAGAGCATCCCTGGTTCTGGCTGCTCACGGTTGGGGGAGAGAGCGGAGGGGTCCCAGGGCTGCCCCTGATCTCTGCACAAAGCGGTGGGCCGCTGGGGAGAGTCCCCAGAAGCTACATCTGTCCCGGGCAGCCCAGGACACTGCAGCGCTCTGGACTGAGCAGCTCCTTGCAGCCATGGAGCTGGGGAAGCTGGGGTAGCCCAAGAGCTGGTGACCCTGAGGCTCCAGCTTCAGAAACCAAGGCCCTGCTTCCTCCTAGGGGTCTCTGGTCTGTCCCTGAAATCCTCAAAATACCTGGCAAAGCTCACTCCCTTGCTGCCTCTGTGGGATGGGGATAATCCTGAGACCTGTCCCTGCATGGGGGCAAAGATGGACGGGGCAGGTGGGGCAGCAGCTCTGTGCGTGTCCTCTGGGGATAGCTGTGACTTCTGCACCCCCTCCGTGTCCGGGAGCACAGCCCCTCGGATGTGCTGCCAGAGCCTGGGTGGGAAAGAGACCGACAAAAGTATTCAGGGGACAGAAGGGCTATTGTTGCCGCTGTCCCGAGCTGGGAGCCAGGAGCCAGGCCTCTTGCCCCTGCTCCTTGCCGGGGGCTGATGTGCCGCATGCCCCTCCCTGCCCCTGCAGCGCACAGTGCAGAAGAATGCCAAGTACATCTGCCTGGCCAACAAAGACTGCCCTGTGGACAAGCGGCGGAGGAACCGGTGCCAGTTCTGCCGCTTCCAGAAGTGCCTTGCCGTGGGCATGGTCAAAGAAGGTACGGCATGCCCCGCCAGAGACGGGGGTGGAGTCTGAGCCGGGGCACCCCCATCCCCGGCTGCCCTGGGCTGGGAGCCAGCGCGAGCCAGGGCCCATCTGGTCCAGGAGCTTTCACCCCATTTCAGACGCTCTAGGACTGGGCTTGGGGGGTTTCGGCCTGCATGTGGGGCAACAGTTTCCAGCCCCTGTACGGGGGCCCTGGGAAAGGAGGGGGCTTTGCCCCCCCTGCCCCGTGCCCGGCTCTCACCCCCCTCTGTCTCTGTCTCTCTCTCTGCAGTGGTCCGGACAGACAGCCTGAAAGGCCGCCGGGGCCGGCTCCCATCCAAACCCAAGCAAGCCCAGGACATTTCCCCCGTCAGCCTCATCACCTCCCTCGTGCGGGCGCACATTGACTCCATCCCCAGCGCTACCAAGTTGGACTACTCCAAGGTACCGACCACCCTCGGCCAGGGTCTGGGGGGTCTCGGAGCCTCAGTGAGCTCCTTGCTTCCCCTGGCCAGCGGGCCCAGTAGCATGGGGGCTGGCCAGGCGGAGGGGCCTGGACATCCTTGCATTGTGGCGAGGTGGTGCTTCCAGCCCTGTAGGCACTGGCAGCTCTGTTGGGTCCTGCGGGCAGAGGTGGGACCATGGTGGGGCTGGGGCAGTAACCCCTGCATGGTGCCCCGCAGTTCCAGGAGACGGCGTCCTGCCAGCTGGAGAAGGAGGAGGCAGTGGACGTGCAGCAGTTCTACGACCTGCTTGCCGGCTCCATGGATGTCATCCGCAAGTGGGCCGAGCGGATCCAGGGCTTCGCAGAGCTGCCTCGCCAGGACCAGGACCTGCTACTGGAGTCCGCCTTCCTGGAGCTCTTCATCCTGCGGCTGGCTTACAGGCGAGTGCCCAAGGCCCTGTCGCTCCCTCCCCTGCCCAGGTGGTGTGGGATGGGTAGGCCAGACCCCGCAGGCGCTGCATGTCCCTTGCTGGGACGTGCCTCTCGGGTCCCCTGCTGTTTGCAGCCAGAGCCTTCATCCTTTCAGCATCATCCTCAGGCTCGTGGGTCTGTCCCAGCTGCTCCCCCTCTGCCCCCACTGCTCGGGTGCTTCCACCCCTGCTCAGACTCCAGGAGCCCCAGCCACCCTGTGACGGCTCTGCTATGTCTGCAGGTCAAAGCCAGAGGAAGGCAAGCTCATCTTCTGCAACGGGGTGGTGCTGCACCGGGCGCAGTGTGTACGTGGCTTCGGCGAGTGGATCGACTCCATCTTGGAGTTCTCTCAGGGCCTGCGGCGCATGAGCATCGACGTGCCCTCCTTCTCCTGCCTTGCCGCTCTCGTCATCATCACAGGTGGGGGCCGGGGGGAGACGCCGAGCTGGGAGCTGGCCCTCTGGCTACCTCCGGGGTTGGGGGCTTCCTGTGGGCATGTCCTTGCAGGCGCTGTGACTGGCCTGGCTGCAGGCTGGGATGTGGGGCATGGGCGCAAGCCCCTTACCATGACACAGGGGCGCTGGCAGGATCTGCCCCTGCCAACTTTGCCTCCCCCCGGGGAGGAGTGGGTATAATGGCAACCCTTGGGTGACCTTCCTCCTCTCCCCTGCAGACCGGCATGGGCTGAAGGAACCCAAGAAGGTGGAGGAGCTGCAGAACCGCATCGTGGGCTGCCTGAAGGACCATGTGTCGAGCACAGCGGGTGAGCCTGCCCGCCCCAGCTGCCTGTCCAAGCTGCTGGGCAAGCTGCCCGAGCTGCGCACACTCTGCACCCAGGGCCTGCAGCGCATTTTCTACCTGAAGCTGGAGGACCTGGTACCACCCCCGCCCATTGTGGACAAGATCTTCATGGACACGTTGCCCTTCTGAGTGGCACTGCTGATGGACCTGCTCCCCTGCCCGCTGCAGTGCAGGAGGGGAGACGAATGGCATTCCCAGAGAGCCGGGACTCGCTGGAAGGGGGCTGCCCTGCCCCGTGCCAGCTGGGCACTGCCCACACGCCCTCTCTGTGGAGAGACCCATGTGCCTTTAGGGTGATGGACTGAGACGCACAACGCCCCGTGCCTGCTGCCCCCCCGCCCCCTTGGGCCAGGACGCGCTGGCAGCTGCACCCCTGCCAGGCACTGGCTGTGGGGCTGGGGGCCAAGCTGCCTTCCCTGCCCCTGGTGTGCATCGTCCCTGGCGCTGACCCCCAGCAGGCTCGTGCTGCCCCCAGGCCCCGGCTGCCCCCTCCTGTCGCCTCTTTTGTACAAATATCAAAGCTTTTTGTAAATAGCTGATCGTGGGGCGGGGGTGCACAGTGCCTGCCTTGGCCCCCCCCCTTGCTGTACATAGCCCCATGAACCCCTTGCAAAGCACATTTATATTTGTCTATTATTTTTTTTCTGGATTAGCCACGTGCTCCTCTTTTCCGATGAGTATCTATTTAATATATTAAAATTAAAAAGCTGCGAGCCCCTGCGGCTTCTGCTGCCTCCGTGCTGTGCGTGTAGGGCTGGCCCCAGCGGTGCAGCGCACGGGCCTGCAGGCTCCTGGCGTCAGCGCGGGGGCGGGGAAGCGGGACTGATGGGTGCTGCTGGTGTTGAAGCTTTTATTCGGAGGAGCTCCTGTGAATGGGGCAGCAGTTGGGTGGGATGTTGTCCCTGGGGCAGCAGGACCAAGAGCTGCTCTGTGCAGCAGGGGCTAGGCAGTCTGAGACAGTCCAGGTTCCTCTGAGATTAGGGTCTCTTTGCCCTTCAGGGGGGAGCAGGGAAACTGAGCTGGGTCCTGTGACCCCCGTTCTTTCCTAGGGTTGCTTTACTGGGTGGGATCCTTGAGCCTGTCCCTCTCCACTGGCTTTGCTCAGGAGTGATCCTTGTGCTGCCTCTGGGGTCAGAGGATCTGGGAGGAGAGGGGCAGGGACCCCCCCCCAGCACAGCCAGGAGGTGTTTGCCCTTCAGGGGGGAGCAGGGAAACTGAGCTGGGTCCTGTGACCCCCGTTCTTTCCTAGGGTTGCTTTACTGGGTGGGATCCTTGAGCCTGTCCCTCTCCACTGGCTTTGCTCAGGAGTGATCCTTGTGCTGCCTCTGGGGTCAGAGGATCTGGGAGGAGAGGGGCAGGGACCCCCCCCCAGCACAGCCAGGAGGTGCCGGAGCCCACGACCCCACCTGTCGCCCTGCTCATGCGCTTGCCTTAAAATAGCCCGGAGTCGTGATAGCCCCGTCCCTGCGGCCAGGCTGCCACTGCTTTGGGGCTGGGGGTGGCTGCCGCGCCAAGGTCTCCTGGGGTCACTGGGGAAACTGGGTTGGCCCCACAGCCTGAGGAGAGCCTGAGGCTGCACCCGTTGACCTGCTCCGCGCCTGGGGGGCTCCGGCCAAAGCCAGGGTTCAGGGTGGGGCTGGGGAAGAAAGGCCCCTTTGATGCTCAGTGGTGATGGAGCAGCCGCGCCCAGGCCAGGCCAGGTCGTGGGCGAGGGAGGAATGAACGAACGCAGCGGGCTTGCAACTGGGGCTGCCCCAGGTCAGGGGCATGCGGCCACCCGGACTCCTGGGTCCTACGTGTGCTCGGGGGTCGTGGCGGGGCGGGGGCTGTGTGGGGAGCAGGGCCCAGTGCGGGGAGCGGAAGGACAGCACAGGGCCCTCGGAAACTCGGCCTGGGGTCAAGCCACGCTGCCCTGGCCGGCCCGGGAACAAGGCGCCTTTGAGGCTGGCAGGGCCGGCACAAAGGCGCGGTTGTTCTGCGCGGCGCAGGACAATGGTCAAGGGCAGGGGTCCTGCCGCTCCCACCCGCGTGGGCCGAGGGGGGACGCGGTCAGTGTGCAGCTGCCGCCTCGGGGCAAGCGCACCGCGTGCAGGGTCTCCTCATGCCTCCGTCCAGGAGGCTGCAGCAGGGCCCCCGCACCCCCGGGCTGGCTCCAGCCACGTGCAGGGCAGGCCAGGGGCACCCGTGCCCAGGCGGAAAGTTACTGGCGGCAGCGGCAGGGTAAATTTAGCTTTGACCCAGCTCGGAATGGAGCCGCCGGGAGGGACGTGAGCGGCCGCGGGCGCGGGGAGGAGCCGGCTCTGCTCGGTGCTGCCAGGGGCCACGGGCTCCGCTTCCCGGGACATGCTGTCCTGGCACCGAACACCGCCCCCAGCTGCTGCCCGCCCGTGCCAGCGGGGCTGGGATTACAGGCCACCCCGCGAGCCCCTGCCCGAGAATCCCTCTTTGCTGAGAGCAGTATGGGTGCCATGACACGGCGCGCGCTCAGCCCGCAGCGGGCAGCAGCTGAATCCCCGGGGGTGGAGGGTCTGCCTTTTCTGGGCCCCTCCAGGCAGGATGGGGCAGGGCTGCGGCTGCTGGGACTCCTGCCGCTGCCGGGTCGGACCCGGGCTGCAGGTACGGGCTGTATTGCAGGGGCAGGTGGCTGCTGGGGTGGGCAGAGGCCTGGGTGGGGTGGTTGTGCATTGTCCGTGGGGGCAGCGAGGGGGCAGCGCCCTCGCTGATGGTGGATGCAGCATTCCTCTAGCCTGGCCCGGTCCCAGGCGAGATCCATGCCCTGGCCCCCGGCCCGGGCTATTTATATGGTTGGCTGCCCTCCGCAGGGCGGGGAGGGCTGGGGCTGTGGTGGGCATTTTCTCCATGACCCTAGCCTCACGCCCTATACACAGGAGACCGGAGACTAAGTGCTTTGGGTGCAGGGAGGTCTGACACCCAGCAGTGGGAGGGAAGGGAGGGGAGGGGAGGTGGGTTTCGCCTTCCCCACTGAGCTGCAGGCAACTAACTAGACGGGGATCAGCACAGTGGTACCGTGGGGAAACTGAGGCACAGTGCGGGGCGATGGCTCACTGAGTCAAGCCCATTGGCTCCCGGCCAGGCCTGCTGTAACCACTAGGCTCCACCCCCAGAGCTGAAAATAAAACCCAGGCGTTCTGGCAGCGTCTCCGGCCTCTGCTTCACCCCCAGAATCGGATGAGCCAGGGCCCCTCGCCCTTGCCCGGTGTCCTCCGGCCCCAATGACATCAGCAGCCAGGCCGGGAATAGCCCCGACAGCCCTGCTATAAATAGTCCGGGGGTGGTGAGCACACGCGGCTGCCCCGGGAGCCAAGGCGAGATGACACCCAGGTGTCACAGGGACAGGGAGAATATCTGCCACCATACCAGGGGCGTCCCACCCAGGCTGGGCTGGGAGCAGGAGCACAGGCCGAGCACTCCCAGGCTGCAGCGGGGCACTTGCCTGAGTGTGAGCGAGGACTGCGCGTTTCAGCCCTAGGTGGAAAAACCCCGGGGGGGGGGTGACCCCCCGCCTCACTTTCCCACCGTAACCCTGCAAAAAGTTTGGGACCCTGATGCTCCTCGTGGGAACAGGTTGGTATCCCTTTAAGTCACTCATGAGCCCTCCAGGGGTGCTCACCATGCCCCAGGAGCTTGGGGTGCATACACACATACTAACTTCCTGACAGTTAAGCTGGCTTAACTTTTTAAAGTTAGCTTAACTATCAGAGGTCACATCTACACAAGATGCTATGTGCGCAGTAGACTTATTCTCGTCACGTGCTAGCGTGCTAATACACCGTAGAGTGAGTCTACTGCGCCTTAGCATCACTAAAAAGGCGTGCGGGTACTAAACGTGCCGTATGTACTGTGTGTTCATGCACGTGTAGATATGCCCAGCCGTGCAAGATAAGACGGCTCCAAGGTGTGCTCCCCGGAGACCCATTAGTTGAGGGGATGGCGGCCGCCACGGCCGGGCGCTGTACATGTGTATGCTCCAATGTGGCTTAATTTAAGCCGATTTAATTAAGTCACTTAGTCACGTCTCTTTATTTTTAACTCGACCTAGTACTGCCTAGTGCCGCTGAGCTGGGCCTGGCATCTCTGGCGCTGGCGAAGGAGCCCAGGAGATGGGAAGGGGCAGAAAAAGGGAGGGCAAAGCAAAGCAGCAAACCCCCCCACGGGCAGCTGCCCCGCCCCCGCGCCCTGGCGCTGCACTAGCGCCTCCGCACGGTCCTCCAGCCCAGGGGGCGAGCTAGCGCCGGCCCACCCAACCCCCGGAAGTGGGGCGCTCTGGAACGCCTACACAAGCCTCTCCGTGGTTGTTTTCTTCCTGGAGCGAACCAAGTGAGAGCGGGGGGGGCGCTGCGGGTCCCGTGGGTCGCGAGAGCGGGGGCTGGCCGCGCAGGGCGGGGCGAAACGGGGTCTACCACGGTCCGGGGGCAATTCGGCGGCGCGGGGCGGCCCGTTGGTCTCCGCAGTAGATGGTACGCGCCGCGGCCCCCCTCCGCGGCCGTGGGTGGGACGGTCCGAGCGCCTCCCGGTGGTTCATTCCGGGCGGGGGCGGCCGAGGGGACG